TATATATATATATATATATATGTTGTCATATATATGTATATGTGTTGTCATATATATGTATATATGTGTTGTCATATATATGTATATATACGTGTGTTGTCATATATATGTGTATATATATATATAATGTAGTCATATATATGTATATATATATATGTTATATGTCATATATGTATATATATATGTTGTCATATATATATGTATATATGTGTATATATGTTATGTCATATATATATGTATATATATATATGTTATGTCATATATATATGTATATATATGTTGATATATATATATATGTATATATATGTTATGTCATATATATATGTATATATATGTTATATGTCATATATATATATGTTATATATATCGTTCACATATATATATGTATTATATCGTTCGTTCTCTTCTTTTCATAACATTTTACTTTTTGATCCATTCTGTCGCTAAAATATCAATTGCATTCGAAATTGGCTCACCTTAGTTGAAAATATATAGATCGCCACTGCTCATCTGCACTTTTCAATCAGATCGTGATCGTAACGAAAATTACTCTTCATTTTTTCTTCGACTGTAATTCAATTAATTATTTCTCAATCCTTTGAGATTTTAATTTCAACTTGATACTTTGGTAAAAATAGAAATGGCTGTCTGCTTTTCAAACACATAATGTTCCACTGTAATTTCCAATGTAATTTTTGGAATGTTTTTAATCATTGATTTTTGTTTTTAATGATTTTTATTCACTTTAATCTAAAATTTCGTTTTCAATCGATCTCGAAGATTCTGTTGATCAAACATTTGTCCAAAATTCGTCCGCTGTTTTTCGTGAATTTCTCCCCTTTCACGAATGTTTCTCATCTTCTCGGTCGAAACATTTCACGTCGTTAAACTTTCAACACACATTGTTTAAAATTGTATAGAGAATTTAAATAGGATACGACACGATTTCGAAAAATTTTCATCCATAGTTTATATTCTGTAGTGCATAGAAGAAATTCATCTATTTATAAAAAGAAGGTGAAAATAATCGGCTTGATTAAAATTATATTGTAACCTGATTAAGTATGATTGATAATTTAATAAACTATGATAACTGAAGGATCGAAAAACAAGAACGATCAGGCAATTACTGCAAATTCCGCGGTACAACTAACATTTATAAACCTATATAGGCACTTGGTCCAGTAATCTGGGGTCAAGTGTTAAATCAAAACTGATAACAACAAGAATATGCCGCCGTTAATATTCCTTCCGAATGTACTGATGACAATAACAAGGATACCATTTTTAAAAGATAAAGTTGGAATTTATTTTTAATTGAATTAATTGTTCCTGGCGATGACGAAGAACACGCGAGTGCTTTTTAATTTTGACTAATTGGACACTTTTTTCAGTCACGTGCAATTAAACACTTTCTTTCAGAATATATTAAGAAAATTGAAAAATACAATAGGAGGAAAGGATTCAATAGAGATTCGATGGAATGTTCAAACAATTTATAAATTTTTCAGATTGAAATTATTTGATGAAAATTATAGTCTCTAAGTATAACTGATTTAAGATTTTGTATATAACTTTAGATCACAGTTAAATCACAAGTAGTTATATTAGTAACATTTCTACGACAAATTATATTTTATCGGAAACATCTAGTATGTATATAACAATTTGTTATATGATATAAAAAAAAAAAAAAAGAATTCGTTCATCCATTACTCGTCCCAGTCGTCGGTATCTGGTTGGGAATCGTACTCGCTGGTAGCCGAGTTTCTATCTGACGCGGCTGTGTCGTTTGGTTTAGGAGGAGGAGGAATCAAGCTTGACATTCTTTCGAGAGCACTACCTCCTGACCCAGCGATTCCTTTTCTTCTAAGTGCCAGTTTTGCGTGCAAATCAGCCATTAAGTCACCTCCAACGGATGCGGAAGACCAACGATTTCCTTTCCCCTCTGGTTGCACGGTATGTCTTAATTTTGCTTTCCCTATGCCACCAGCATTACGAATCGCTTCCATTAAATTCGATCTATTGTCTAGCTTATCCGCTTTATTCAAATCTTTGACAGTTTTCTTTTTGTCCAAATCCGCAGTCCGAGGCTCAAGAACATTAATCTCGGATTCAGGTGGAGGTGGCGGTGGTGGAGGAGGCGGTGGCGGTGGTGGTATCGAAGGAGTTAACGACGACGAGGCCAACGAGGAACGACTATCGGTCTTGAAGTCCGAAGAGGTCGAAATCAATATGTGATCCGGTGTGATCGAAGGCGGCGGTGGAGGTGGTGGAATAGGCTCCGTAGAATCCTTTGAGAAATCGATCTCGGCGAAACCAGGTAAATTTGGAATAGTTTCGTCGTGTTTTATATTCGAGTCTTTTTCATCCGTTGTTGGAGTTGGCAGATCGATCCGCACGGTAGGCGTAGTGACCGCTGAAGACGGCGCGATAGGACTTTGAGAATTCAGGTCCAGAACAAATTTTTCATCGTCCACGATTCCAGGTAAATCCGGAAGTGTTAGTGGTACATTTATTTGTGGTACCTGTACAACAAAATGTTTCATGTTCTCTGTTTCCCTTTGCATTCAATATTCAGGAATATTCTTGTGGATCTTACCTCCCCTAAAGTTGGTGTATATAAATAACTACTGGACGCATCTATTTCTGATGCTAACCACGGTTGTATAATTGAATCTGGTGCATCCTCTATTTGCTGTTTATCATTTAACTTGTGAGAAGTTTGTTTAACAGATACCTTATGTGGATTATCCATGCTACTAAACAACAACGCATTGATTGAAGACAAATGAAAAGGAAATGCCACTTCACTGCTATCTATATAAACTTCTTTATTAGCTTTAGATCGAACATGATAAAATTGCAGCTTTTCTTGCAGATTGTTATTTGACACGTATTGACCATCTTCTGTTTTACAATTAGAAGATAAATACGTTTCAGGAATGTCTTTTATAGGTACGGAACATTTGTAAACTTTTGGTATCTTGTTGCTATTATCACACTGAGGTGGTATAGCCAATTCATATTCTTTGTACGTATGACTAGCAGGATATCTTGCGGCAGAATACATCTTTACAGCTTTTAAATTTAGGTTGGTTTGCAAATATTTTAATCGGTCTTGTAGTTTCGTAGCTCTGTCTCTGACATTTGACAATCTGTAAAGAGATGTGTTAACATCATTGTTTATTTCTAGGATATGTAATAACATGCAAATAAAATTACCTTTGACCATTTTGGAAAAGCCTCTTATCAATAGATTCAAATATATAATTAACAGCAGAGTCTAGATTATCAAGAGCTTCTGCTATTTGAACTATAGTTTCCTCGTGCCTCAAATTGTCAGGAATAACTCCTAAATAATAAAAATACATTTATTTTTTGAAATCTTCTCTTTTAAATAAATAAATTTATCTTCATTTACCAATTTCGGTTCGATTCGGCATTTTTTAAAAATACGTGTTTGTATATTTATTTAACTCAATAAAAAATCATATTGTCTCTGTAGATGGATTGTCTCATCTATAGATCACGCACATAATTACATTGATATTTAATTATGTATAAAACATTTTACACGACAAACTTTTAATACTTATAATCACTTAATCTATACAATCGTATGACAACAAAAATAAATTTAATGGATCTTTTGGAGAATTTACATTTAAACTTACATGTGAATCCACCACATCAATTATTCTTAAAGACTATACTCATAATTATAGTTGATAATTGCGTAGATAGTTTTAATATAGAATAAAAGAATAATTCATAAAATAAAAACACTTATGGACTAACTTTGAATCGTGGATTGTATATCTGCCTTAACATATCGTAAGATAGTTACATGTCATGTATCTGCCCTATTATTTTTAATATATAATTTATATTATACATTTATATTTTAATATTTCGTATTTGTTACATTTAGTTACTTGTAACTCGGGTTATAATTATTTATTTTTAACAAATAAGCGTAACAAAAATTTAAGAAATATTTTATTTATTATGAAATTTTATTAATTTAGTTAATGTTACTTGAGTAAATTCGAACTTGAGAACGCAAAATTATTTAAATCATTTAAAGTTTTATTACTCATAAACTTCCGTCAAATACATCAATTTATACCTGACTGCTTCTATTTGCGTTTTAACTCTTGATTCTTTTCATATGTATATCATCTTATGTAAGTTCATGTATCAAAATCTAATGAAGAATGTAATAAATAAAATTTTCTAACTTTCATATTTTGCATAAGATTAAGTTTTTTGAGAATAAAATACATATTTTGATATGTTTTTCTTAAATTCAGAAAAAACTAATCAAATTAATATAATATTATATCATGACACTATTGTACAGACATTACTGAATAATGTATTTAATTATATGATTATGTTAGTATACAAATCTAATAATATTATATTAACAATTTATAGTGTGTTTTTACATATATTCAATCATTTTTTTCTCATTTACAGGTTATACGTTATAAATAGCAAATATGAGACAAAATCTTGACTCTTCATTCTACTTGAAAATATATGTCTAATAATGTTTATTCATGCATCTATAATAAATGTAAATAAAAACATAATTAAATGTTTTAAACAATCTGTATTATTGGTATGTACAAAGATGACAAAAGCTAAAACACATTATGAGGTATTGGGAGTAAAAACAAATGCAACCTACAATGAAATAAAGTCAGCGTATTATAAATTAACACTTAAATATCATCCTGATAAAAACAAAAGCAAATCTGCTAAAGAAATGTTCCATAAAATTTCCGAAGCATATGATATACTCAGTAAATATGATACACGTAAACAATATGACAGAACTATTCTAATTAAACAGGATCTCGAGTACAAAACTAAACACGAGTACAACTATAAAATGAAATCTGAACATGTATCACAATACACAGACAAATTACATACTGCGGGTAAATCTATGAAACAAGTTTTTGATTTTGACATGTGGTTGGAACATCATTATTCAAATATAGCTAGGAAAACTTTTGAACAAAAAAGGAGATCTAATAGAGATCAGAGACATGTTCATTCCACGAACACGGATCATCGTGTACTATATTTTATAATAGTAGTGTTCTCAATTGGATTTTACATTAATAAATATGTAGAAAATTATAAATTCGAACAATTTATAGCTGAACGAAAGAAAGAAAACAAATAAAAATCATGTATATAGAATTAATCATAATCTATTTTAAGAATCTAGTATAAAAAACAAAAAGCAATAGTAATTAAAAATATGCCAATATAAAATGGAATATTTATTTAAATTAACCCTTGAATTAAAAATAGTGTCAAGATTTACATTGTATATTTTGATATTATTTATTTCAGAAAATGAAATTTACTTTAATATATTACAATAACATTACAAAATCTAATATGGTAGCTGAATATTACTTAAATATACAATATTTTATTATATTTTCGATTCATTTAAAATTATTGTTAACCGAAATTACATATTTCTTGTGTGTTAATGAAAATTTAATACTTAAAAACTTAACTACTCTGAATTTACGTTCCATTCAAATAAATGTAATTTAATATGGCCTATAATGTGGTAAGCCAGATGATACAGGCATTGGCATTGAAACAGGTCCAGTTGGATAAGGAATTGCTGGTGCTATACTTCGAAAATTACTAGCTATTGGATATCCAGAACCACCAGCAGTGGTATGTGATTTTCTTATTAATTCCCTTAATTTATCTACTTTAACTTTGCGTAGATGCATTAATTTTCGTCGTGATAAAAATTGCTCTAAAAATTCGTCTACTTCCATATCTCCAGCCAAAAATTTTTCAGCTATGGTCTGTACATTAAAGAAATAAGAAAATTATTTAAGAAAATAATAAATTACATTAAATAATCAAGTTTTACTAACAAAGAATGTTAGGAAATACAAAAAATGATGAAAATTTGTGTATAAACAAAGTAAATCATGTATATCATAATTCAGCGTGAATTCAAAAAATTCATATTTTTCAAATTATTCTCGTCATCATTCTTAGAAATTGAATTTTTTTAAAGCAATTTTATAGATATGAGAAAACCACATAATTTTTGTTTGTACTTCTTTTCAATTTTTCAAAATTTCTTCTCAAAATATATTCATCATTTGATGAATTACTCTATTTATACACAAAATTTTATAATTTTAATTTCCCTAACTTCTCTTATAAGTACTATTAATATTACTTCTGATTCTTCTTCAATTTCAGCTGCTGCTGTTTGCAATAAATCTAACGCAGTATCAGCGGTCATTTCTCCAGACTTATTTTCTACAAATAATTATTAGTTATGATTATGCATTATCCAAAAAGTTATATAATTAGTATCAATACATACTTATTTCATCCAGCTTTTCTTTTACACTCGTGCATAATCTACTTCCTTTTTCACTGAGTTCCTTTAACATCTGTTTGCCTTCTTGTAATTCTGGCTGTTTGGATAAATTAAACTCTGCCAGAGATGTGTTACTTGCCATTAATAATTCTTTTTCAGTTTCTAAATTTTTAAACTAGTGAACAAAGAGAATTTGAATTACATTAAACTTTACTATACATGGACAAACTATAAATTAACAGAATAGAAAACCTTTGGTAAAAATTAAAATTACCTGCTTTACATCCTTTACAATGTCTTCAAATTTTGAATCATCGTTTAATAATTCCTTCAGTTCATCATTTGTTAAATGTGACAAGAGACCTAAAGCTGCAGGTATGTCAGGTTCTTGGTTTGATTTAAACATTGTTTAATATTACTTATTCTCACGGAGTCACGATGATGTTCATGAATTAAATTTTATTTTCAAATAAAATTGGTGGAGTTATTTGTAATTTATTTATATTATATAGAATTGATACTTTATTATACACACAAATTTATGTAAACATACATTTACTGACTTTCTCATATAATAAAAGACTTTAATAACTTTGTTATATGAAGTTTATTGTTATAGGATATAATTATTAAGATGTCAAATAATTTCAGCTTCATGAATTTTATAAAAATATGCGCTTTAATTAATGACACATTATCTACTTTGATAAGTACTTTCATATCTCTTGAATTCGCCATAGAATGATAAGCAAATAGATGTACGATACAATGAAAAAATTAAGTTCTATTTGCATGAAATGTTAAAATCAATTTTTCCAACAAATTTTTAATTAAATAGAAATATTAATAGATATTGTGTCAGAGTTTAAAAAGAAAAATTTATTATTAATGAATTTTATATTTCCTGAATTTTAAATGCATGATCTTTTTATACTTTTAGATTTGAATTTGTTTACATAACGTACAATATTTAATATAAATTATAATAATATGGAATAAAACATACGAAATTTTATGATATTTGAAATATTTGCACCAGGAATATCAAAACAGAATAGCAATCACATTTCTATGTTAAGACGGATATTCAACATTTCATTCAACTGAAATCACGGTTTGAGATACATATGTAATCATCATCTCATATTATTATAATTATTATAATTATATTGCAAATAATATTAAATTAAATGAAATTATGTTATAATGTATTAACTAATCCATTAATAGAAAGAATTCTTATTTAAAGTGGAAATCAATATTTTGAAAATAAATTCATTCATACTTGCAAACATGAATGGGTTACAATTATATTTTCAAAGTCTTCTTAATATAAAGCATGTAAATTATGGAGGTAACTATTTGAAGATAAAAATTTTAATTATATAAAAAAAAAAAA